CAAAACATTAAGGATGGCAGCACCTTCAAGGTGAACGAACATCAATTGAAACCTTACTTTGATGCCAATATTGAGTCTCAAGCACTCAAGGAGCCTCCACCACTCTCTTGAAGCTCACCAAAGTGTGGACGTCCGGATGAAGACATAACTTAGCGCTGCTTGCATCTTAATCGCTTCAAAGGGGAGTTTTTCTGAACTCTAACCTTTGGTTATGTCTTTCCCTTATCTTCTTTCCTTTCATTTATGAGGCATTGCTTGTTTTTACACTCTAAACATTGAGGACAATGTTTCATTTAAGTTTGGGGGAAAGAATTTAGTTACGTTGTTTCAAATTGTCAAATTTTAAAAATTTTGAGTGTGTCTAACGTCTAAAAACGCAGCATTTTGTGAGTTGCTTTGTCTTCCTTTCAAACACCTATGATAAGACTTGGATTTAATTCTAATATGGTTTTGCATAAATCAATAATCTTTGTTTAAGGTCTTTGTGTGATTCTGAGTTAACTCTGTCTTGCATGCCATCCTTGCACTTATTGAGCACTTTGCCGAGTTAGTCCAATTTCTTGCTACTTGGAGACATTATGCAATTCTACTTATCTCATGATCTTGGTTTCGTACTCTAGAACTTATTTGAATATCTCTTAAGACATTATGTTGTCATACAATGCTTAAGAAGTGATATAGGCCATGTTTGAACCATTTGAGCCTTTCTAACCATCCCTCTACATGTATTCATCCCTAGTCAACCCATTTGAGTCTAAGTTAAGCCTTTCTTTGTGTAAACCATTCCTACCATAATGAACCTCTGTTTTCTTATCCTTACTTATTCTATGAGCAATTAAAGCTATCTTCAAAAGAGAGTTATAAAGAATGCAAGGTTTTTGGAGCAAAAGTGAATCATTAGTGCCATAACCCAAGTGTTGAAAAGAAATAAGTTTTTGGGGTACTAGTAACTAATCAAAAGAGGTAATAAAGTATGACTAATGTAGTCATAGCCCTAGGGTGTTATAAGGAGAAGATCATGGTGATCTAGGGTAAAGAGCCACAAAATTAGGCCAAATAAATAGATATGAAGGTGCTGAAATTATGTTGAAAATATGCTCATGTATGTGTTCCTTGCTTGTTACAAAGTTCAATAATCTCTCATGCTCTTACCTATGCTTTAGTTGTGCTCAAGATGTTGTTATATATCCATATCCCCTCTTTCATTCAACCACTACCCTAACCCTCATTAGAACCCTTGTAAAGTTCTTTTGATCCTTGGTATTGTATGGTATTACTATGGAGAGCTGATTTGATAATGAGCTTATGGGGTTTGGAATTCTTGATTTTGCTCTCAGTGTGTGCGCATGTACTTATTTGAGTTGCAAGTGTTGTTCTAATTCGGCATTCACACACTACATTTCCCCCATACCCCATTTACACCTTTAATCCTGCAAACTTTTGTTCTCCTCCTTCGTTGAAGAGTACTATGGTGGAAGAAAGCAATATTGGAATCTCCCGCCTTCAATCATTGGATCCTCGATCTATGTTTCCAAAAGCTCTCCTCTTGCCCCTATGTCTCATTTAGTTCAACTTTTATCTAATCAATTCTTCTTTCATTTCCTTCCCAATCACCTTGTCTTAGTTGTTAACTTTTTAGCTTTCATCCTAGCATTTGGATATTTTCCTCTACGCCACTTTCTTAACTCATGTATGCACCTTCTTTGCTTTTGTTTCCAGCATGTCACCATACCCCTCCAATTATTCATATTCCAGATCCTATGAACCACCTCTCCACATTCTGGGTCAGCAACCCAGTAAGCTTCAAATTTGAAAAAACGAGTCACCTTATCCTGTCTTCCTTCAATTAGAATCAGAATTGGATAATGATTAGAGCCTAGATCTGGGAGATGAATAGCAACAGAGCATGGCCAAACCTCCTACCAACTTGAATTAATCAGCCCTCTATTAAGACAATCTTCGAGTCACTTAGTGACTTTGCTTAGTTTCTCTTTATTTTGAGTCACTTACCTCTTTTTGTGTGTTTTGTAGGTCAAGACAGCAAGAGATCACATTTGATGCAATCCATGCATGTTAAGGGCTGATTGGGATAAAAGCAATATGAGCTTAAAGACAAACCCAATTTGGGCCACACTCCTTGTCAGTCCAGTTTCGTATGTCATCTTGCAAGCCTTATTTCAGCAACCTACACAGGTCGGATAAAGAGACATCCTTGATAGAAGTTGTTCCAATAGGTGTCTATTATAACTTATCCACATTTCAGCCCCATTAGATAAATCTGGAGCCCTTAACACGTCAAAGACCCAACCAAGTTCACAGAAAAGTCATAGTTGGTTGCCATCA